ATTGATTGTTAGTCAATCTATAAGATAAATCAACTTCAGATTAATTAATTAATCAATAACTTGCATCCTTAATTCATACAGGAATGAAATTAATTTATATCTACTCATATTTATGTAATTAAGCGTTTTAATGATTTAGCCGATTAATCGAAAAAATAATCGTTAGTTGCAGCCCTAAAATTCAAGTTAAAAGATTATAATGTAATGATTTGAACTTCTTGCAGAATGCAACATTTGGTTTATAAAAGTACAATTCTGAGTCACTATGGAGCCAGAAGCAATTTACTTTTTGTCCAACTTTAGTTCAAACTCAGTATTAACTCATCAGTTCATTTTGTATATAAACTCTTTCTCTAAATGGAGACCACTGGACTGTTTACAACAGTATTTTTAAGGTGTTTTACTCATAACACCTCTTCAAAATGGTTGAACTATTCTTTTAAATGCCATAGCACAAAACTAAAACTGCACCTCCTCCCAGTTCAGACACTGGTTCTTCTGATTAAGGTTTTTGTACTATAATCCTTAAAACAAATTCTTCCTGCACACTGAATGGACTTTAGTTTACCCGTAGATGCACGTGAACGCAGCCTGGTTTTAACTACAACTGAAGTCAGTTTGTTCCTGCTGCTCACTGATCATCTGCCCGCAGACCAACCACCAAACAAACACACTTTCCTCATCTGTCAACTTACCTGTTCTTCAAACGAGCTTTCAGGAAGTTTTTTCCAAACGGAGCCATGGCTCAGAAAACACAAGAACACAAAATAAAAAAAATAAAAAATGAAAGAAAGACAGAAAGAAAGCAAACCCTTCACAGTCCAGGCATGGCAGGACGCTTAACTGAAAATGTTTTCAGTGGAGGAGGGAAAAAAAAAAGTTTGCAGAAGCGTCCCAAACGCAACTCTGTCCGCCCCCAGCCGAAAGCCAGAGGGAGGTGTTCCCTGAGAAAACCTGGTCCAACTCTGCCCCCTTTCACCTGCTGCAGCTCCCGCAGAGGAAACCTGAAAAACTGGCTGTACCACAGTAATAAACTACTACAACTACTACTAGGCCTACTACAAATAC